TGTGGGTGTGGATGTGATTGGTAATATAGAAAAGACACCCACACCCTTAATGATGAATTTATGTCATCATATAGAGAAACAAACTAAGAATTTGATGGATAATTATGTATCCAATGGTATAACAATAGAATTATTTCATTTTAATTATTTGATTTTATTGAAAATACTCTTCAATTATATCAACATGCATTTGAAATAGAAAACATTTTGAAGAATTTTGTTCACTATCTAGTAGTCTTTATCTTGAACTAATGTAAAATAAAAATTTCTATCATGATTTAACTTTAAATCAAATAAAAAAATGTTTGAAGAACAAGTAATTGTATTAATTCTGACATTTAAAAATCATAATAATCATGATGATGGTAATAAACGTATTAAACAGATTCTATTATTATCTATTCCATTCATTAATCAATCAAATAAATATTTTCAGAAAAAATTTTAATTCAAAAATTATCAAAATGGCTCTGATATTTATTCGACAATTCGTTGATTTAAAACAAAAAATATTTCAAGGATAAAGAATTTTAAATGTTTTAATTCAATAAATCAAATAGTTCAGATAACCATGTATAGTTTAAGAATTGTAATAAGTCGAAGATCATCTCGTTGAACATACCAATACATCAAGGCAGTCACCTTAACAAGAAACCCAAAAAAAAAGAATAACAACGTGTTTATTTAACCATAACATGAAGCAAACTTATTTAATTCAAAACCCAGGTCGATGATTCCTGAAGCAGTACTCCATGAATCATCGATTACAGTCACCAAATCTGTTCAAGGGGAATACTACTTCCATGAAACCTTTGGAATATCACGGAACTGGCTGTTTCCTTGCTGGATTGTTTGACTTGAGAAATGGCGACTGGTTCGGATGAGAAAAACGTTCTTAATAAAGTAATAAAAATTAAGATTAATTAAGAATTATTTCAAAAAACTTATTTCAGGTAAAGTTTGGTGTGAAATTGGAAACCGAATTAGTAAAGAATGATATTCGATCTGACAATCAATCTGAAAAAGTTATGAAACTGCTATCCGATGATACTGATGAGCAATCAGGTGAATTATACAATTCAAGATTTAAACAGTGTAAGCAAACCGTATTCTTTATTAACTACATAAACTACTCAGTAATTTCTTTAGTATGTAACGAAAACAATAGTGATGATGGTGTTTATGATAATTCACAAATTAGCAACGAATTAATGAAATACTTGGGAATTGATAATGACAGTGAAACAAAAGCATTTCTTGAAAAAAATCAACAATTGATCTCATTACAATCATATGAAAAATTAATTGAATTAGTAATCAATAAAGAAATGAGCGACGTAATTTGTTCTTTAATTTAATACTTAGAGTGTGGGTGTGGGTATAAGAATTTAGAAAGAAGAGGAGCTACACTCATACCCACACCCTCAAGATGGCAACGTAAACGATGTTAAAACGGCAAAATACTGCGAGAATTAATGCAGTAATACACCGTTTTATTATCATTTCAGGCCGTTTGAGACGCCATTTCTGATGGCCCGAATAATCGTCCTGGGTATGCCGCAATGGAGTTGTATACGCGTCAGGCGCTTATTATTAAATACATTCATGAATCAACATTAAAAACCATAAGCAGTAGGCATCGATGCATCCAATTGTTCTTCATCAAGTAAAACAAATCATTTTTGATTTTCACATAAAAAAAAATTTTTTTAGAATCGCCTCTGACAAAGATTATTATGATCAATTCAAGAACGATGTTAATAAAATACAGAATGATACTGTAGAAACAGCTGTTCAACGAAATGAAAAACTTGAGAAAGTAAATTTATTTGAGTCAAAAAAAAGTAATAAAAAATAATGTTTCTTAGGAAGAACAAAACAAATATTTATGAAGAATGCATAAAGATATCCCCAAGGACAATGATTCCTGAAGCGGCATTCTGTGAATTTCCGTCTGAAAACCGCAGAAAAAAGTTCGTTTCGAAGTCGAATTGTTCAACTTGGGCAATACTGTTTTTTGATGAAAAAAAAACAGTTTGAAACATATTTCAAATTTTTTTATTCAACGCAATTTGAATATTACTTTCCTTTTTAAAATGCATTTTATTAATAAAGGATTGAGAATATCAAAAAGATTTGTTCTTTATTTGTCTATCCTTGAAAAAGTTGTGATATGGCTTTCTTCTATACCTTTAATTTATGTAATATTCAGCTGCTGTAATATTTCCCTAATACATTCTGTTAGACTATTTCTTTTCTCGTTTCTTCCGTATTGAACACTATAGCTTTTTTCTCTTTCTTCCTGATGATTCACGCATTTTCTGTTCTCTTTTTTTTCTCATTATTACATTTATTACGTTTTTCATTTTTGATATTATCTTGCACCGTTAGGATCATGTCATCGCAATTTTTGAAGCACAAATAAAAAAATATTTACTTTCGCTCGAATATTATAATTTTTTATATTAATAGTTGAATATGATAATTTTTCATGTTAATATTGATACTTGAATATTATAATCTATTATATTTCCAAATCGATGATTTCATTACTGTCGAATTCGAATACAGAATATTGTGTTTATTTACGTCTTTGCGCAATTATTTCACTTCAATAAAAACGGAAGTAGGCATAGTATATAATCACTGCATTAACTTCGAATTCGTAATATAAATATGGCATTCTTACGAATTCTATGTCTTCTCGTTATAAGTAATATACACCATGTGAAGGTTGTCACAGGTATGTCATGAAATCGATAAGACCTTCATAATCTTATACATGCTCTTTTTCATTGTCGTCAATAGGAAAACTAGGTGTAACTGCTGTGAAGGATTATCACACCGCCGAATTTGGCATCGATTATATCGGTTGCCGTGATTGGACAAATCCAAAAGGTATGGATTGTAATCCTTATCAAGGTGATACAAATTGCGATACGGAGCTGCCAATGCTGTGTATTCGAGTGGATCACAGTCCTCGCCCTCCATATATTATTTATGGTAACGGTGCTGCTATGCCAGCTGCCAATTATTATGGGTGGAGCGGAGGTCATGTGTCTACTACCCTGCCAGTCAAGGCAGCTCGCTTTAGGAATCGTACTGAAGCAAGCAGATTCTGCGCTGAAGCACTAGGTCAAGAGTGGGAAGTTGCCGGAATATGGGGTGCTCAACCCCATTGGATTCCCGGTATGAATGGAACCAAATACGCGGGTATTGAATGGACAGCAAACAAGGATAAACTCCTTGGTGGAGGATGGAGTTTCTATACTTACGGTAATGTGCGTAATGATACTCGATTTTGGATTCAGGGTCCACTTGATCAATCATCAACATGTTGGGAACAATAATTCAGTAAAGGATGTTTCGCTATATGGATGTAAACACGTGTGATTTTTCTTGAATGAAGGATTCTAATAAAAATGAGCGCTATAAAGTAGCGTATTTGAGAAGTAAAAGGGTGTGGGTGTGGATAGATGTGGATGTAGGTGTGGGCGAGAATTTGGGTGTGTGTGTAAGTGTGGGTAAGAATGTGGGTGTGGGATAGCAACAACACTTACAACTGCACCCACCTACGTTCACTCCCATACTTTCACCCACATCCGCACTCCGTATTGACGGGGCTGTTGTTGTAACAGTTGAATTAGATGCAGCTGAACTAGAGACTGAGCCAAAGTTTTCTTTCGATTTTTGTGCGCCCATATTAATGTGAGCTGTAACTTGCCGATGATTGTGGATTTGCAATTGAGTGTGATGGTTAGAGCGACAACAGAGATTACATTATCGATTTATATAGGCAATAATTCGCTTTTTCTCGATTTTTTTGCGACGCACAATGTTTGTATTATTTTGTTGACACAAAAAAGGGAATCTCGCCACTTAGTCATTATTAAGAGCATACTATGGTGAAAAATAACATAGAGAGACAGAGAAAAATTAATCAAATCCGAACAAACAAAAACACAAAGAAGCCAAGTAAGCATTTTAATTGATCATTTTTCTTTCCAACTTTGTCGTATTTATATCTGCGGAATTTTTTCAGTGTGTCACTACGTAGATGAAATTTTTCAGTTAATTTCATTTTTTTCGTTCTTTCTTTGCCATTCATCATCGTGTTATTTAATCAACGAGATTTACGATAATTATATATCAATCATTCTACTAACACTGGATCAATCAACTAGGAAGATTAGATTTTGTACTCACGGAAATAAGATAGAAATAGAGCAGTTTTATTCCACAAATTTTAATATTAGTGAATGGAGAAACTGAGGCAAATCATACAGAAATCTGGCATTAAAATAAATATATATCAGTATAATCGTCCTTATGATAAATGTAATTTAATAAAACAAACATTATCAATAGTATTTGGATTAAATTGTGTATCCTATATTGATGTCTTGGTTAAAATTTATTCAGAAGGATTCGTTACACTATAACTTATTTGAGGTACGTCATGAAATTAATGGACACATCCTATTTCACATTAACAATAGATTCTATACATATGTTGTTTTGCTTATATTCATAGACTATGCCTTTTATCACTCTTTGCCTAAGTGTAAAAATAAAAAGCCATTATCGAGAGTAGGCCTTATAGACATGACCGACAGGGCATCGCAGACGTGGCCGATACGGCGAGTGTGGGTGTGTATCTTCTCTCAGCTCACACCCACTCACACCTCCGATCCGATCCGGTCTAGTCTGAGCTTTTTGGATTGGTTCCACCTATGGAACGAAGAAAAAGAATCTCTCTGTCTAAAATATATATATAAATATGTGTAGACTATTATGTGCAGCCGAAAAATATCTGATGAAGAAATGCAGTGCATTTCGAAAGCTAACTTTTTCTTTTGAATAAATAAAAGGTGACATATTTTCAGTGTGAGTCATCTGACGGTTACTTTTATTTTATGTAAAGTAACCAAGTTAAAACAAAAAAAAGAAAAAGAAAACGAAATCGAACATTTGTATTAATTCTGTAAAAAATAAAATATACCACATTTTTTTTAAGATAAATGTTTTAAACGTAATTAAAATGGTACTTGCAAATCTAGTTGTCTATCTACTTGATAAATACTTGAGTGATTATATCGAAAATTTAGATACAAAAAAACTTAAAATTGATTTATGGAATGGTGAGTATACTCAAAGAAAATTTTCATCGTTTGATTTCATACTAAAATCATTAATTATCTATAGGAAATGTTGTTCTTGAAAATCTATACCTAAAATCCAACGCACTGGTAATTTTATTTTATTAACTAAAACTCAAAAATAATTTTTTTATTTTAATTTCTAGGCGGATTTAAATCTTCCTGTCACTATATCAATTGGATATTTACGTATGTATTATCTTATGTAATTTTATTCAAAAAAATAATTAATATTCTTCTCTAGAAAAATTAACACTTCAAATTCCGTGGACAAATTTATATACACATTCAACAAAAGTAACAATCGATGGACTTTTTGTACTAGTTATACCAAAAACTGGTTCGTTGATTTGTTATCTTTTAGTATATTTACATGTCGAGTAAATATTTTTAGAAGTCGAATATGATGCCCAAAGAGATGCAAAAGAAAAACATGAAGCTAAAATGAAAGAAGTTCGAAAAGTTGAAAAACTTCGAAAAGAAAAAGAAGCTGAAAGTAATATTAAAAATAAATTTAAATTATTTATTTAATTGAATATCTAAATAGAAAATGCCAAAGGAAATGATAAAAATAACGATACTTTACTTGAACGTATGCAACTTCAAATTATTCGAAATTTAGAATTATCAATTCGAAATATTCATATTGTTTATGAAGATAAATCAACTAAACCAAATCATCCATTTTCATTTGGAATAACTCTTAATTATATATCACTTCATGTAATATGCATACATTATATTTATTGATTTTATTTCATGTATATATTGAACTTCATTTTAAAGACAACAACACCAGACTGGAAATCGGCTGTACTCAAAGAAGATACACCATTGATTCATAAAGTAAGATATTAATCAAAAATCTTTTATTCTCATAAATTTTGATGAATCATAAAATGTTCGTGCGTTGAATTCATATGCAAGACAGAAAGAAGAAAAAGATTATTTTTTAGTATATTCAGATCACTCAGTTTCTAAGTCAATTAGACTAGAATGATACCGAGATTTCAGTCTGACATCAAAGTGTATTATTACCGACGCTAACAATTATTTATTATATTTTATCAAGATCAAAATCGAAGTTTTAAACGCACTAAAGACAAATGTAATTCTTTCAGTTCGAAATTATTTCTTCTGAATAATAAGGAAGGCATAAAATCTATGTAGCTCTTTTTCGACTATAAGACTGCAAGGGTTAATATAATATATCATATTTCATGATAATAAAAACGAATAATTATGTTTAGCTTGGTGAATTAAGTGCTTTATCAATTTATTGGAATACAAATGCTAAATCTCGAACAGATTTAGCAAGAGATGATGCCATCGTAAGTTCATTTATTTCTGTCTCGTTTATATTTCTCTTTGTATTTTAAACTATAGAATAGTTTAAAAGAAAAAATAGCTATTGATAATCAACACGCACCATCTGACATCTCATACAGTATGATTTTATTTTAATATGTTATTATCCAATAGAATATAATTTTAGTTCTTCGTCCACTTAATGTGAAAGCACGAATTGTATTAGCAATGAAACCACGTGAAGAAGATTTTAAACGACCTATGTTTGATATTAAAGTTGATTTAGATGAAATCAGTCTCAATATGAATCGTGATCAAGTAAAAAGTCTTTAACAAAAAAAACACACATAAATTCTTATTGAAATTTTTTCTAGTATTCGGATTTACTTGATCTTCTTGAATTTCTCGGTTATCTTAGTGTTCAATCTAAATATATAAAATATCATGTGAAAAAAGAATTAGTAGAAAAGAAAACATTAAGAAAGTAAAAAATAATTTTGCTTTGATTTATTTGAAGAAAACTTTATTTCCATGTTCAGTTGGAAATTTGCTTATGAAGCAATTGTTAATGAAGAAATTCGACCAAAATTTGATTGTTATAAATGGGAAAATATAAAAGCACATTTAAAGCGTTGCAGAGAATATCGTACATTACATTATCAAAAACTAATAGGGAAACTAACCCAGGAACAAAAAACTCGTGCAGAAGTGAGAAAATTTTATTATTAAATCTAAATCTAAAACATTTTGATTATTTTTGTTTTAATCAAGGAATTAGAAAAAAAACTTGATGTTTTTAATTTAACATATATTCGTCGAAGTGCAGAAATTGAAGCTCGAAAAAAGGAAGAACAAGAACCTAAAACTTGGCGGAGAAATGCATCAAAATGGTGGAACAGAAATCAACCAAAAGATCATCCAGGTTTTTTATCTTCATATATATTTCTTTAATTAATATGATCCCTTTCGATTTGTATTTATTCAGAACTTAATTTAGAAAAAGATATGTCACTAGAAGAGAAGAAAAAATTATATGACGCTATTGGTTATGAGGGAGAAGATACTTCAACGTCAACTTATCCAGAAGAAGTTTGTTTTAAAAATAAATCAAAATTCTTTATTTATAATTATTCTACATGTTTTTAGTATGTTGATATTGATTTTGCAATTCGATTAAATATGCTTGATGTTAATATTTGGTCTAAAATTAACGAACACGATACCCAGTATGATTATCTATAAAAAATGTATTACAATTATTATATTATGTATTATAGATTTCGAGTTATTGCTCGTGGTGTTATACCTGATACTAGTTTAATATTCAAACGACGACCAGCTACCGATGCTCTTGCGTATGTTCTTTGTTTATTTATGCCAGCGTCCAAATCTTGATTGTTATTCTTATTGTATAGTATACATGTTGATTTGGGTTCATTTCAAGTATTTGGTATTGCAACAAATTCCAGTCAATCCGAATTATTAAACGATAGTCGACCTGTACTTGTACGTCCATCAGCATTATCATCAACTAATCAGCAAAAATTCTTACAAGTAGAATTTGAAACAAATCCATTAGATAAAAAATCGGATTATCGTGTTAAAGTTGTTTCACAATCATTAGAAATAAAATATAATGCTGTAAGAATAAAAAATTTTTTTAAAATAAAAAAAGAAATTTATTATTCTCTAGCCAACAATTAATAAATTAGCAGAATGTTTTGAATCTAATGCTTATCGAAATTTACAAGGGTATGCAAAAAATAATTTTTAAGAAATTTTATATTCAATTCGTATTTTGTTTTTAATTTAGTGTTAAACAAGTCGCATATTCAACTTATACAGATGTTAAACATCGTTCATTTATATTAATGAAACATAATATCGAAAAAATTAAAGTTTTAGATATTTATATTGATATTCAATCATCTTATTTTCTTTTACCAGTAAATGGAGTTTACCAAGAGTAAAAGAATGAATTTCCTTTTTCTTTCTGTCCATGATACAATTGTATTCATTTTAGTAATGCTGCAACAATATGTATGGATTTAGGTCATTTGACATTAAAACGAGGAACAAAATCAAATGATAGTGGAGAAGAATTCGTTCCAGCTAAAGAAACAAAAGTACGTATTAAAGTATTTATCTCAAATCTTTATCTTTTTTATCTATTATAGGATATTAAAGACGCCCGAGAAAAATCATATACACAATTTAAATTGAAACTTGAAGATATTCAATTAATTTATGCAAATCAAAGTAAAATAATATTTAAATTAAATCAATTGATAATATTGAGCTTTTTTGTTTGAGTATTTAAGATGAAAGTTGGGAAAATGCTCGTAAAGAAAAAAATACACGTATACATTTAATTCAACCAATGGAACTTGAATTAGATGTTGATAAATGTATTTATAATGATGATGCTGTATTACCTGCGTAAGTCTTCTTTTTTTCTAGATAAAATTTCTAATTAATATTCTGTTGTTATTATTAGTTGGAAAGTTGCTGGAAATATTCCTAGTGTAGATTTACGTTTATCAGATACACGCTTATTTCGAATAATGCAGCATATTCAATCAATTCCATTTCCGAAATCGAAAACTAGCGCAATTGTCCAAGCACCAGTCGATGCCGAAGTTTGTTCAATATAAATTTTAGTTTAGAAATCAATATTTTATGAATTTCAGTCAGTGCCTGCACAATCGTTAGTTATTAATACGGAAGAAACATTAGAGGCAGTTGAAGGAATAACATCCGCAAAAAAAACTAAAGAAAAAAAGAAAAAGGAATTTAAAGGACAATTAACACAATTAGAAGCTATGTTTACACTTGATAAAGTAAAAGAAGATCGATGTAATTTAATTATTTAAATAATCTTTTTTGTTTTCTGTAAAGATTGATTTGCATATTGATAAAGCTGCAAATGAAATTCTTGATAAGGATAATGATGAACCATTTCTTTGTTTAACACTTGAATCTATAAATGCTAATACAAAAATAAAAACATTTGATATGGAACTTAATGCATCATTAGCTAATTTCATTGTTTATCATCAACAATTTATTGGTAAAGATAATCAACCATTACGTTTATTATCAGCTCAACTAGATAAACAAAATACAACGGAAAAACAAAAATTGGTCAGTTTAAAATTTCTACATACTTCACAAAAAAATCCGTTATTTTCATCTTCAACTTATAATGAAATTGAGAATAGAGCGGATGTTCATTTTAGTAAACTTGTTGTCACATTACAATTAGAAGTACTTTTATCCATATTCAAATTTCAAGATTCATTAATGAAAAAATTACCAAAACATTCAACAGACTATCAAACAAAAGAGCCACCAAAAGAAGAAGTAAAAGCTATTGAAAATAATGAAAAAACAGAAAAGCCTGTTAAGAAAAATGGTAAGATTTTTGTTATTAAGATAAGAGTGATGAAACAAGAAAATATTATTTTGATTCAATATAGAGAAAAAGATTTACAGCATTTTTTTATATATATAAAGTTTATTGACTCGAAAAATTTAAAACTACAAAGAGACAGAAAATTAACAAAAAAATTGACTAATAGAGAGCGAAAATGAATCGAATTATTTATCTATTTCTGAGATTTTTGACAATCTTCACAATATTGATAAAACAATGTCGATATTTTCTATGTAAGTTAAAAACCTTCATATGTTTGTCTTCTACGAAAAATACTATTTGAATAACTATTTCGCTAAATGCGACCAACTTAAGAAAAAAATTTTATTAAAAACTACTGCTCCCATATTGCTCTACTTGATTGACAATAATGTATAACTTCTTAAAAATTTCGGACTCAGAAAATCCTGTCTGTGTTAGATCAATAACTCTTATTGCGGTTGTATTTTACGAAGACACATTGGTAGCCATTAAAAATAAATATTCGATCAGATCAACTTTATGATAATCGTTCACCTGCCATTTATTGTCTGGCCGAGCTTTTGAAAAGCTAGTTTTTAAATTTGTGTTCTTCACTTTAACTCTAGCTACTATTTTGAGTTATCGTATAGTTAGTTTTCAAACTAATCAGACCTTTCTGATTCTTGAAAAGACTATGAGGATATTGGTTTTTTGTCTAATATACATAATACAATTACTGTAAATACCATATTTTACGTATTCTATTCAGCTTAGTGTACAATATGTTCGCAACGAACTGCCTGATGGCAAATTGATTTAGCACCTATTTTTTTCGAGTTAAACAACCCAAACTCCTTGTATTTATTGACTTAATAATCATTGTTTAGATACTCCGGCAACAACTTCATTTAAAATAAATGCTGATCTAGAAGAATTTCGAATAATTCTTGCATCAAAACAAGCACGATTATTTGACATTCAAGTTCAAGGTTTAAAAAAGCATACTTTTTTTAAATTTAACTTGAATATTTCACTTTAATTTAGGTATCAAAGCTAATGTATCAAAATCATCAGAAAAGACATTAGTTAATTTAATTCTATCAGATCTATGCGTTTTTGATCCGTATGAAGGAGCACGATATCGAAAAGTATGACAAAAACTATAATTTGTTATTTTAAAATGTTTTTACTCTTATTTCTCAAGATTGTTTCTCAACAAGGCGATGATAAAGATTTACTTCGTATTGATTTATCCTTATTTAATTATCCAGTGGAATATAAAAAACCTCTTGATATTTATGACTGTGATGTAAAAGTTGAATTTGCTAAAGCCAATATTGTCTTTCTGTTCAAACATATCGATGTACTTTTAGTGAGTAATTTTCAAAAATAACATCATCGTATACTTTCTATTTTACTTCATTTTTCTAAAGGGTTTTCTTCAAACACTAAATATAACAAAATCAGCACTTGATTTAGCATCAACACAAGCAGATGCTGCCTATGAACAAGTACTAAAATTACAAGAACAAGCATTTAAAGTTCATTTCGATATAACATTTAATGCTCCAAATATAATTATCCCAACAAATTCATATTCTGATGAAGCTTTATTATTTGATTTGGGTAGATTAACATTATTAACACGTTTTTATGATGATCCAGAACGTTCACTTGTTGAACAACAAAATGTTCGATTAGAAAATGTTCTTGCTAGTCGTGTTAAACTTAATCATGATAATAATATTCTTGGTGAAATTATTTTACTTGAATGTGCGGAATTAAAAATATTAATTAATCGTTTACTTTTTCCTGAAAAAATTAAAACTGAACCAGGAGTTTCAATTAAAGTTGAATGGGACTTAGTTCATGTATGTTTTTATGATTTCAATTTTTTTTAAATATAAATTGAACTTTTTTGCTCTAATAGTTTCGATTAGCTAAAGGTGATTATTCATGCGTTATGAAAGTCTTAATGGAAAATTTTACAGAAAATATTCGTGATCAAATACCTGAAACTGCACAACTTGAACAATATCATTATAGACAAGAAGAACAAGAAAAAGAAGAAGAAGCTTTAAGAAATGCTGTAATTAAAAGACAACAAGGTTCGGAATAAAATATATATTGATTGAGAAAAAACAATATTTCTCTTTCTTTTCTAGACGCTCATGGTGGTGAAGTTTTACAAACAGTTAAAATCCGAGCAGAAATTAAGAAACTAGCATCGACACTTTACTTGGGAGAATCAAATTTGGTAAGAGAAATATTCACGATTGTTTATAAACCTTTAGATTTCATCTCTTGATTATAATGAGATTCGAAAGTTATAAGTTTAAATATTTCTCTTAGACTGTTCGTCGGGCACCACGTGATGAATCTTATAAATTAGCTAATGTTCAAATAGAATTATTAGAAGCATTATTTCGTCAACAAACTGATTCAAGTTATAAAGCAATGGTACGTGTTAAAAATTTTCTAGTTGATGATTTACGTGAAACAAATAAAGCAACAAGTGTAACACGTATGATGGATAGACATTTTACAGTTGATCCAAATGCTCAAATGGTTATTGCATCATTTGAATTTAAACCAAAATCTCCAACAAACTCAATGGCACTTCGACAATGTAAATAAATAAAATAAAAAAATTATTTTTTTATTTTTCAAATTATTAGTCAGTGCTCAACTTGAAAGTCTTTATATATGTATCAGTTTGGATTATTTAATGGCATTACAAGATTTTTTTATATCTGGTTTACCAACTGGTAATACTGAAATAAGATCTCATACATCCGCCATGACATCTGAAAAAGAAATTTCAACTAAAACTGATAATGATAATAATCGATTGAAAGTAGATCCAAGACCAAGTCGACCTTCAATTACAGCACAAAAACTTCCAACACCATCATCAAAACGTATTTTGTTTTTCCTTTGATTTTTTATATAAATACTAATTTTTTCGTTTTAGTTTCTACACGTCAACCACCAATTCCATCCAATTCTGATCCAGAGATAGAAACACGAATTGATGTGATTGTAAAAAATCCCGAAATTATTTTACTTGAAGATCAACATAATTCAAATTCGAATTGTCTCGTCCTTGACGTATGTTTATAAATTGAATAAAACGATAAAGAAAAAATTATATTTTATTTTATTTTTTATAGTTAGCTTTACAAATGCGTATGATTATTGTTGGTGAAGATTCAAAAATATATATTTGGTTAAAAGATTTAACAGTTTACAGTTCAAATTTTGCAGAATTAAGAGATTCAAAAAATACTGGTTCAAAAATAAAATATCGCGTAAATAAAATAAGAAAATATTTTATTTAATCTTACTGTTTTCTTATTTAATAAGATTTTACAACCGGCTAAAGCTGATGTTATTGTAATTATGAATAACCAACAACAAAAAATTAATGTACGAATATCAGATATTATTGTTAGTATTGCACCAGCAGCAGTTAAAACATTAATTGGTGTTACAAGTTCATTAGGAACACTTCAAGTAAATAAATAATAAAGAGAATATTTATTTATATTTATATTTTATTTTCATTAGGCAAATGTTGTAGAAGAAAAAGAAAAAGTTAATTCAAAATCATTATTTACTCCAAAAACATTTAAAGATTCAGGTCTTTGGTATATAAAAGGTTTTTATTGAATCATTTTGTATATGAATGATTAATTAAAATTTATTTTAATAATAGAATATGAAGAAAAACAAGCTAAACTTGAATCAACTGATATATTAAAAACTGTTAAAGAAGAAGAAGATAAAATGATAGAAAAAGAAGAAAAAATTGAAGCACAAACTGTTTTAATACAACAGGTAGGAAATTTTTTTAATATAAAAGAAAATTTATTTTTGTCATTTTTTTAGTTAATTTTAACACTGGAGACAATTCAAATTAAATTGGAAGTCGGTTTAGGTTCAGTAACAAAATCTGTTGTTGCAATTTGTTTATCAAATTTAATAGCTGATGTTAAAAATTGGACAACAGATGTATGTGATTAATAGAATT